CTTCTTCTTCTTCTTCTTCTTCTTCTTCTTCTTCTTCTTCTTCTTCTTCTTCTATCAAAAGCTTTAAAGCTTTACATAAGCCGTTCAACGTAAATGCAAGTTTGTATCAGGTTTCCATCTAGTATAATAGCTACGTCATAAAAAATTCCAGTACCAGCTTGCTACTGTGCGAAGGGACCTTGAAAAAATTTGTAACGAATTTCCACTAAATGTCTGCAGACCAACTGCTGAGCCGCTTATGGGAACCCTGCTCTCACTTGATAGAAGTGCTGCATTCCAGTAAACATTGCCCTTTTGTATTACCATCCTCCTCCTTCTCTTTTACCATCTCACCCTACCTACACCCCTCCCCTCTTCCACACACACACACACACACACACACACACACACTCACACACACACACACACACACACATACACACACACATACACACACACACACACACACACACACATACACACACACACATTCGCACACTCTCTCTCTCACCCTCCCCCCAGCCTATCCGCACCATTGTTTATACCCTACCACCCTCATTCCTTTCAAGTCTTTCTGTTTCTTTTCTTTCACTCGGCACTCAAAAAACCCCAGTGCCTTTATCGTATATGAATAGACAACGATCGAATCATTTAAAAACGCCCCAGTGTTGGCCAGAATTGATTTAACCCTCACGATTGAGATGTTAAAGAATAGAGAAGAGTTTTGCTGCAATCGAATGCGAGCAAAGAATGAATGGAGTGATCAAAAGAAGAGGGGATTGCTAAATCTGAAGGTCTTGAGTGAAAGCAAACGTTGTGGTGTTTTGAAAAGAAACATTGTGGCATCCGTAACAAGAAACAGCCATAAAAATCGTAACATCTATGACGCGATGCGTTCGTGACAAAAGATTAATTATCATCCAAAGCGTTATTTACTTTCCTTTTTAAAAAAGATATAAAAAGGTTTGTTTTACGTTTTTGCTATAAAGCGATTTTCAAACCCACTGAGTTGGTGTGGGTGATGTATTTACTCAAACTTTAAAAAAATAAGCTTAATTTAAGCACGTCAAGTTCTTGACTTCTGGTTTCCTATTTTATCTGCTTTAATTTAAGTGCGATCCTCTGTGCTTACACAAGGCGACGTGAACTGATAAGCAAAGAAATTTTTATCTCATTTTAAAAACTTTTTCTTAAGGAGAAGGGGGGTGGGGGGGGAGGGT